GTGAATGAATCTCTCTCTATATATATGTGTGTGTGTGTGTGTGTGTGTGTGTGTGTGTGTGTGTGTGTGTGTGTGTGTGTGTGTGTGTGTATAAGGAATAAGTAGTGATAGGAATAAGTAGTCAAACAACGTTGTTTACTTTTATCTTTTGCTTTATCATTATATTTACAATAAATGTGACATCTTTGCCTTATCCCTCTTAATAAGATCCTGCTGGTTTTTATTCTATTGGTATAACAATAGGATCCACAAAAGCCAGCATGCTAGGCAGGGAGCTGACAAGACTAGCCAACAGCAGCTGCTTGAGGAGAGGGGTGCCTCTTTCATGGAGTTAGGCGTCTATGTCAGAGCTGCAGGGAGAGACCTATTTCTGCATGTGATACACAGCTGGGAACCCATCTCCTAGAGTATGTTGGCTTAGATACCTGAGACATTTCTTGTGAGACTGGCTTATGTGCCTGCCTAGCTCCATACTAAATGGGATGGAGAGGAGGTGGACTCCCTTTTAACCACTAATCAGGGGGTTAGGGTACTCATGTGGGAGAACCTAGTTCAATTCTCCCTCTCCCCATCTGAAGAGGAAACCGGATTTGAAGAGGGGTCCTTCACTATTCAGGTGAGTGCCTGAACCACTCGACTGGCATATGGGAAATGACTGCCTAGGAAGGAGTACTGCGGAAAGGGATCTGGGGGTCATAGTGTACCACAAGCTAAATATGAGTCAAACGTGCAATGCAGTTCAAAAAAAGCGAACACCATTCTGGGATGTATTAGCAGGAGTGTTGTAAGCAAGACATGAAAAGTAATTCTTCCTCTCTACTCCCTGCTGATTAAGCCTCAACGGGAGTATTGTGTTCAGTTCTGGGCACCACATTTCAGGAAGCATGTGGAGAAACTGGAGAGTCCAGAGAAGAATGACAAAAATGATTAAAGGTCTAGAAAACATGACCTATGAGGGAAGATTGAAAAAATTGTGTTTGTTGAGTCTGGAAAAGAGAAGACTGAGAGGGGATATGATAACAGTTTTCAAGTATGTAAAATGTTGCTACGAGGAGGAGGGAGAAAAATTGTTTTTCTTAACCTCTGAGGATAGGACAAGAAGCAATGGGCTTAAATTGCAGCAAAGGAAGTTTAGGTTGGACATTAGGAAAAACTTCCTAACTGTCAGGGTGATTAAGCACTGGAATAAATTGCCTAGGGAGGTTGTGGAATCTCCATCATCGAAGATTTTTAAGAATAGGTTAGACAAATACCTTTCAGGGATGGTCTAGATAATACTTAGTCCTGCCATGAGTGCAGGGGACTGGACTAGATGACCTCTTGGGGTCCCTTCCAGTCCTATGATTCTATTCTCGGGGGTGGGGGGAAGAGGGTGTATCTCAATCTCTCTTGTTGAAGCCATTCCGCTTTGTACTAAATAATTAAGTGTTAATTAGGCCAGAGAGAGTAAGAATAACTCTATAGTCCAGTGATTAGGGCATGCGTGTGAGGTGGAAAACTCCTGTTAAAATTCCTTTCCCTCAGGCAGAGGGGGGAAATGAACAAATGAACTGGGGTCTCCCACATCCTAAGTGAATGTCCTAAGTACTGGGCTAAATCTTAGAAGGGAGGGTGTTAACTCCTCCTCCACCCAGCTCTTTGGTGTGGAGTGAGCCCTATTCAGAGCACAGCTACCGGATCAGGCTTTGCAGGTGAGATGGGCAAGATGCCATCTATCTTTGCCTGGCTTGAGGCATGAGAGAGGCCAGGGTGCCAGCCTGTGGCAGAAGATTAGGCACGTAGTGAGCTTTTACTGAGGAAATTTAGGCAGTGAGCTTTGGCTCTAACTGAGTGAGGGTTCTGTGGGTTGCAAGCGTGCCTTAATCTTGAAATCAGTGGAAGTTAGGAGCCTAAATACCTTTGAGGACCTGGGCCCAGATTCCTACTGACCTGACCTTGGATTTGAATCAGTGATCAGATGGACTCCAATCCCATAAACCAGCCAGTCCCTGCTCCCCCCCCCCCATGTATATCTTCTTTTAGTCCAAAGATAGAGACTTCACTTTTGATGGACTGAAACAAAAGTATTAAGGGTGTTTCTTCCAATGCAACTTGTCTTAAATACTTTTTTTGTGTATTGGTGAACATTTTTCATTACCAAGAGATCCATGGAAATGGTGGAAAAACTATAACTGAAAATGACAACATAGTTAATGCAAAAGCTTCTCTATCTCTCAGAAGGAGAATAATTAAAGATATACTCAGATATCCCATGGTTAATCAATTTAGTAAACAGAGTAGCAATGAGGAAGGAGACATACAAATTAAAAAATGAATTTATGATGAAGAAACAATATGTAATCTTCCCTGAATGCGCATTAGATACATTTGACAACTACTAAATCACACATAGACTTGAAATTAATTCATTAAGATATTTTACTGCTGACAGCATGCCTGTGGGAATATGGATTAATAATACAAATGGAGACTAATTAAAATTACCCCCTGTAATCAGAACCAGGGTAGAATGAAGAGAAGTAGTGAAAAATAAGAAAAGACAAATCTAAGTTGTCATTATTAAAAATTTCCAATTGTCTCTCTGAGAAATCCTTAAAGGCTAATTGTAAGAAGGAATCTCTTAAGTTTCTGGATATGTCTGAATCAAACAGCCAGTTCAGAAGGTATTTAACTTCAGCATTTGCTTTTATCCATTTCTGCTTTTAATTTGCCCCATTTCCAGTTTGTAATTCATATTAGTGTCAATATGAACAGGATCCTATTGAAAGCAAAATAGCTACCATATTAAAAATTGATCTAGACAGAGGTCTAAATATGTGAAGTCGATATACTAGTGTCTATACAGTGGCCTGTTTGATGAATTTTTTTAAAAAATCAAAACAAAATATTAAAGCTGAACATGTCCCATGAGAGAGAGCTAGAAACCAGAGAAATGGGGTGAGGAAGAGAGAGGGAGGATGTGGAGAAGTAGCAGACCCTTAGCATTTTTGCCTGCTCCCTCAACCAAATAGTAACTAATTACTGACCCCCATTTCCACATCACTTTACATAGGGTTGGCATAAAGACTTTTGGGAAGGTTAGCAAGATGCACCCAATAATTGACTAATTTCACTTAATTTGTGTATCTTTAGACTCTTCTCTACCCAGCGGTGGCTCCAGGCACCAGTGCTCCAAGTGCATGCCTGGGGCGGCAAGCTGTTGGGGGCGCCCTGCTGGTCTCTGCGAGGGTGGCAGTCAGGCAGCCTTCGGCGGCATGCCTGCGGGAGGTCTGCTGGTCCCACGGATTCGGCAGCAGGTATGCCGAAGCTGCGGGACCGGCGGACCTCCCACAGGTATGCCACCGAATCCGCGGGACCTGGGACCTCCCACAGGCAAGCTGCCGAAGGCAGCCTGCCTGCCGTGCTTTGGGCGGCAAAAAAGCTAGAGCCCCTGTCTCTACCCCACACATTCTGCTGTGGAAATGGAATCCAATTGCTTGTTCCTTTTAATATTAGCAACTTGCTTACGTTGTAAAAAGGGCCAGAAACTTTCTTTTGAAAATGAAAGCAGAGATTCTCCTTTACATTTCCAGTTTCCCCCTTATCATGAGACCTGCAGCCATCAACGTTACAGGGCCAAGAGGCTATTCCTGGGAGGTGGGAAAAGAAGGTTGAATTTAAGGTAAAATTGACCTAGAGGAATCTATTCTTTGTTCTTTTATTTATTGTTTGGTTCAGGATTTTAAAATGAAAATCCAAACTGTTGAATTAAGTAGACATAACAGGAATTATCCTCCATTAATACAGAATATCTCAAACCACATTATGTGAACTCCCTAAAAAGGAACTGGCAATTCTTTCTGCAAATAATATAGGTTTATATCCCAGTTACCCATAGGTTCAGTAATTTAAAATAAAATATCACTAACTTTTTTATTTTATTATAATGATAGCTCCACTTGCAAGTAATATTCCAGAAAAATATCAGAGGAGCACTTGTTGAAAAGAAATGCTATGTACAGAGTTTCTGCTGTGGACTGTACACACACCTGAGATGAGATTAGCTTGATCAGATTAGCTCAATTTCTTAACAAAATACAATTAAAAGTTGTTACAGTGCCTATAACGCTATTTGATTTTTTAAAACTGTTGGCTCAATCCCAAACATAACTGGTACAGCAGAAATCATTAAACCTCATTTACCAACTATATAGACCACACACAGTCTGAGATTACCACAGTTTTCTCTACACTGAAGGAATTTATGGTAACTGTGTAGTAAGTGTTGGGAAAAGATAACTCTTTAATGGCAACTACTACAGTTATATTAGAGAGGGAGGATGGTATAGTGATTAGGGATACAGCCTATGACTGGGGAGTCCTAGATTCTGCCATAGATTTCCTGTGTGACTTTGTGTAAGTGTCTGTGTCTCTGTTCCCTTTTGGTAAAGGGAACACTACCTACTTCACAGGGGTGTTGTGAAGATGGACAAATTAAAGACTATGGGTAGGTCTATACTTACCTCCAGGTCCGGCGGTAAGCAATCGATCTTCTGGGATCGATCCCGGAAGTGCTCGCCGTCGACGCCGGTACTCCTGCTCGGCGAGAGGAGTACGTGGAGTCGATGGGGGAGCCTGCTTGCCGCATCTGGACCCGCGGTAAGTTCGAACTAAGGTACTTGGACTTCAGCTACATTATTCATGTAGCTGAAGTTGTGTATCTTAGTTCGAAGTGGGGGGTTAGTGTGGACCAGGCCTATGAGGTATTCAGGTACTATGGTGGTAGGAGGCATAAAAGTCATAAAGATATCTAGGTAATAGAATTCACTTATGTATATACTGATGTTCTAGTGATTTCAATTAAATGTAAGTAGAACAACAGACGCTGGAAAGTGAGATGAGCTATGGCTTAGTTGTAGTTTATTCATTTTGATTTATAACACAAAAACCCTTCTTTACCTTTGTTTAAAGATGATATAATCCAGACAAAATCATCAGCCCCCCCATCCCTACAAACCAGAAAATAACCAACTAAACATGAAAATAAAGTTCAAACAATTCTCCCCTCTACCCATATATACCAGCCCTCCTTCTGCCTCTCCATCCCTTCATTGTCTCAGAAAACAGGTGGGCTTTGCAGCCTATATAAAAATCAACAGACTTGGGCAATTTTGGATCAGGGAGGGAATAAATTCAAAAGTTAAGGTCTGCTTATGGAGAACACCCTCCCAGCAGCCCCTGTATACCTGAGAAGCTAAGTATCAAGACACTTCTCAAGGAGAATCTCTTTTCTCAGGGTTGTGGTGAGCTGGTAGACTGAGGGGGACTGGGTGATCCAGAGTTCAGGAAAATTGGATTTAACTCAAGCTATTGGGCTAATTTCTATTATGACTGAGGGGAATCTGGTCAGTTTAATCATAGGATTTTTCATTAGTTGTGTATTTTTGTATATAATAAGAAAATCTGACTCTTGCATTGCTTTTTGCATCTGTAGATTTCAATGCACTTCACAAAGAAAGTCAGTATCATTATCCCCATTTTACAGATGGGAAAACTGAGGCACAAACTGACAACACGACTTGCCCAAAGGCATCCAGCAAGTCAGTTGTAGGGCTGGGCATAGAATCCAGGTCTACTGAGGCCTAGGTCACTTCTCTATCCGTTAGGCAATATTACCTCCTCTGACTTGTATAAGAGATGCTAATGTTCCTGGTAGGTGCTTTTAATTAATTTAAATAGAATATTAAAAAAAATAGAATCTGACCAGAAGACAAAAGCTACCCAAACTCCTGTCCTCTCATATTTGAAAAGCATGTGTGTGTGTATATTTCAGTATAAAAATTGGTGGTGGTCATGTATTATCACAAAAATTGTGCCACATCACTTCTGGATGTGAGCAGATCTGATCTCATACAAGTTCTGAAGCACCTTACAAACATTATTTACATATCACCATATCTCTGTCAGATAACTTATTTCCACTGTACCAATGGGTACTCAGTGGCACAGAGAGTTTAAGTAAAATGCCCAAAGTCACACACTGTAATCAGGAGAACAAACTATATTTGAGAAGCCGGGGTGAGAGGAAGATAGAGGTATTTCTAAAGAATGTATGTAAGATCAGTAGAGGAACATAGTGAGTGAACTGTGGGGGAAGAAACTTTCCATCTCGTTTCCTTCTTAGTTCTTTATGTCTAAACAGACATTTAACTTCCACTGTCATATAAATGATAACTGACAGTCTAAAACCTGCAGAGCTATTGATAGTCATATAAATAAAGTAGTTGTCTGTCAATCAGGTGGCGATACAGCTTCATGCCAGAGATTGGGTTCCAGGAAACGACCTGAAGAAAAGGCCAACAGCAATAAGTACAGAAGGGTTATAAGTGTGGACATATGCAAAACGATATCATACCCTGCCATACATGTCCCTGTAAGCCTCTGCAATCATAAGTCTTTGTGCATTGCAACGCTGTGTTAGAATATCAATCACCATGTCCTTTTCACAACCTGGAAAGGAAACAAGACAAAATGCCTAAATTAAACTTTTACTTATATTTATCATTGTTTGGTGAATGTAAGTAAGATACCATGTTTTGTTCAAATCCATTAACCACATTTCTTGCAGAAAAAAATCAACAGATTAATATCAGATTGGTATTTACAAATATCAATAATCTTTATCATGCTTATGTACCTTTCATTTGCTGGCGTACTACTGACAAATAGTCAAGAAATCTGTATTATCATCAGATGCATTACCATACTCTCAAGGGGAATGGACTTGAAAACATCAGTAAAATTGGATCAAGGCTTTCATCAAATGAGAACTAGGCATTTGGGTAGAATTTATAGCTAGGACTGGAAAGTTGAGTTTGCATGTGACAATGCTGATTAAATTGTCATTTTCGAGTTATTGATCTCCAGTAATGGAATGGCTATTTACAGAGGGACTATTGGTTGTAAAATTGCTGAATAAGGTGCTCAGTTGGATAGTGTAAAATAAGATGTTGAAGGATTATTTATTAATACTGATTTCTGAATGATGCATTAGGACAAGGGTTACTTTGTGGAAGAAGGTTATCTATGATCATTAGCTTGTAACTGGTGATTAGAGCTACCTGAGTGTTTAAGTGAAAGTTGCAGGTAACCCACAGAAGTTTTTGAATGGAAACTTTAGTGATGGATAGTATGGTATTGGAAGATAGTCTTTAAGGTTCTTTAGCATTATTCTGAAATAATTCTTGATTTTTGGGGACTGTGCAGATTTTATTGTATGAATTTTAACTCAGGTTCTGTTTAGACAAATTTGATATTAGCTGCAAGAACTATGGCTTGTATTATGTTGCCAAGTGCTGATCATGGTAATAAAACATTCTACCGTATAACCACAAATTCTGAATAGAATGTCATCAGTCTATAATACAGTAGATTTACAGTGGATAATACAGTAGATTAAGTCTTGTTTAATTGGCAGAGCACCATTTCCTCACCACATGGCAGGCTGTTGGCTCTCATGAATGAGATGGATGCCATTTTATTTCTCATCTGGAGTCCGAGCCTGTGCACACTGAAGTCAATAGCAAAGTTCCCATTCCGTTCAATGATGTAGCCTCCGACTCAAGAAGTGTGCAGTTTCAAATCCAGTATGTTGTTTTTACTTTTCAGAGAACAGTTACTTCAGGAGGTTTGTTCATAATGAAAAGTGGTTTGTCCATCCTTGAAGTTAGTGCTCAACACAGCAATTGTTTATCTCCATAAGTAACATTATTCATGTGAGTACTCCCATTGTTGCTCATTGAGACTACTCATGTGAGTAATTTTATTACATGCATAATTGTTAGCTAGACTAGGGCAACAAACTGCCAACTCTTCGGGGCAAAGTCTGTGGGGAGTAAATGGACATAGCTTCAGTGAAGTCAAACTGCTTTAATTTTGTCAGATAAGTAGTCATGCATGAAAACAGAAGCTTATGCCCATGTTTTTACATTATTAAGTTTAAAGTACACCTCTACCCCGATATAACGTGACCCGATATAACACGGGGGGGGGGGGGGCAGCGCGCTCCGGTGGATCAAAGCAAGTTCAATATAACATGGTTTCACCTATAACGCGGTAAGATTTTTTGGCTCCCAAGGACAGCATGATATCGGGGTAGAGGTGTATATTAAAATGTGTTATTGCAATTTGTATTTAATAGGTGATGGACAGAATCTTGTCTATTTTAATCCCAGTGAAAATATGACTCATTAAAAGTTCTTGCTTAAAGAATAGTAAAATACGAGAAACCTTAACATGTAACCAGCTTAATCAATCAAAAAGAAGAGGCAGATTGTACTTAATACTTTTTGGTATTTCCTGGGACAAAGTATACATAGCTGAATGGAGGCACATACCTCTCCACTCAAGAAAATGGCTGGACAGAATGCCAGATTTGGTGCTTTAAGTAGGGCTGTCATTAAATCACAGTTAACTCAAGAGATTAACTCAAAACAAATTAACTCTATGAAAAATATAATCACAATTAATCACAGATTTAATCACAATATTAAACAATGATAGAATACCAATTTAAATGTATTATAAATATTTTTGGAGATTTCTCTACACTTTCAAATATATTGATTTCAATTACAATAGAATACAAAGTGCACAGTGCTCACTTTATATTATTATTTTCATTAAAAATATTTGCATTGTAAAAAAAGATAAAGAAATGGCATTTTTCAGTTCACCTCATACAAGTACTGTAATGCAATCTCTATTGTGAAAGTGCAACATACAAATGTAGATTTCGTTTTTTTTACATAATGGCACTCAAAAACAAATCAATGTAAAACTTTAGAACCTACAGGTCCACTCAGTCCTACTTCTTGTTCAGCCAATCACTAAGACAAGCAAGTTTGTTTACATTTATGGGAGATAATGCTGCCCGCTTCTTATTTACAATGTCACCTGAAAGTGAGAACAGGTGTTCGCATGGCACTGTTGTAGCGGGCATTTCAAGGTATTTACATGCTAGATATTCTAAACATTAGTATGCCACCCTGATGCTTCAACCACCATTTCAGAGGACATACTTCTATGCTGATGATGGGTTCTGCTCAATAATGATCCTAAGCACTTTCACAATAAAGAAATTGCATTACAGTAATTTTATGAGATGAATTGAAAAATACAATTTCTCTTTTACAGTACAAATATTTGTAATAAAAAATATAAAGTAAGCACTGTAAACTTTGTATTCTGTGTTGTAGTTGAAATCAATATATTTGAAAACATAGAAAACATCCAATATATTTAAATAAATGATATATTATTCAACAGTGCAATTAATCATGATTTTTCAAATCTCCCAATTAATCGTGATTAGTTTTTTAATTGTTTGACAGCCCTAGTTTTAATACTAGTAAAAAGCCTAGCAGGGTGAATTTGAAAGCTTTCCATGCAGACAGCTATCCTGATGGGGAAAATGTCTCATTCAAAGATTCAATATACTGACCCCCAGCAATATCAACAATACCCAAAGAGGAAAACAAAAACCTGAAGAGAAAAAAATGCTTTGGTGAACTGCATCTTTGTCTGGTTTTTGCTTTCAGTCCATAGATTAGCTATTCCTCAAGAGGAATCAATAAGGTAATCTTGTCTTGTTTTTTTTCAGACATGATTGATATTTTAAAAGCCAATATCCTTTGAGAATAGCTAATTTTAGATGTCATAATTAAGAGACTTTTCTTTTGTCTCAAGAGAGCTGGTAAAATAAAAGATAACCTTTAGGAAAAGGAAGCTTAGTACAAAAACCCCAAAAGCTTTGACTAAGTTGTCGTAGGCTTATGTCTACCCTGAACATACTCTAATTCCTTCCAATGCAATTGCAGAGTTTTTTTTTAATGTCAGTGATTTATGATTTTTAGTTAAAAATCAATTATCTCTGTCCATGCTTAATGCCTGTTTCTATGATTGTTCTTTTTCTAAAGGTGTTTCCAAGGATGGGCTGGAAGAAGAGAGGGCTTGGAATTGTCAGTCAGGATACACACCTATCCCCTGTAGGGCTCCCCCCAGCATCTGGGCATCCATAACTGGGTTGAAATTTGGAGCTGGGAAGATTGTTCCTTGTATCTGCTAAGGGGGAAAAGAGAGAGTGTTATTTGTAACTGATCATTAATTATATACAAGATGTCATCAGCAGAATTATGAATAGATTTTGGAACCCTTGTTCATATGAATAGTCCTTCCTTTAATGAGTAAAGCACTGAAGCCCTCTGGAACCTATGTCTGTAATGAGTAAAGATTGCAAGATCAGGCATCAAACCTGTTTTTTGGAACCCATTGACACTCAAAACACATACTTTAGTTTCTATGAGGCTACGAAGCAATATTTCACAAGTGACCAGTAAATAATATTATGTTAATCCTTGCATTCCAACCTCATTAAAGGGGCACGGTCAACATGATGATCACATTTCCATTGAAAATTGGGTATCTATTGTTGCAAGTAGCTCCTACAGTTATTATAACACCTGAGATTAGAGAAAGATATTTGTTTACACAAGAGGCAGGTGTATAAAAAGAAAAAGGGGACAAAGGATATTCAGATATGTTTGATTTTAGTCTCAGGCCCACCTGAAAAACATGAGGGGAAACACTTTTAGCAATTAAAAAGAAAAAGTTAGGATATTATTTGAAGGATCAGAAAGCAATGCTTTAAGTTAGCCACTTTCAAAAAAATCAAGTTGAGGAAAAATTAAACAAAACAGCGCCATTCCAATATAGTTGTGAGGATTATAAAAGAATAGGATGCCCCAAGCAGAATTCAAATGAAGATCGTCCTTTGTTTAGCACAGAGTTCTAGGGCTTTAAAACTTCCTTTGGCAGTAGGAGAAAGTAAAAACATGACTTGCATTCAGTTACAATGCTCTCTGTCCAGCTTTAAAATGGTAGAACATTTGGAGTAGATTTGACATACATGGTTCACTGTTTCAGAAATAGTTGGCAACAAAACAGCATCTTACATTCAAACTTAGCACAAGAAAGCCATTTTAGTTTAAATTTCTTAAGATCAAGCAGATGTCTTATTGCTTAAATAAGCCATCAAAAGTATGGACACACCAGAAAAAATCATTTCAGAAGTGGAAATTGTAATTAATTCCAGTCTGTTAGATTCAACAGCTCTTTTAAATTTAGCACTCACAATAGATCAGTAACCTATGCCATGCACATGGAATTTGTTTTTAAGATTGGGTGGAGAGGATGTTTTCATTAGACTGATGTGGCTTATGGATATCTCAAGATGAATGTGAAAGATCAATGGAAACAATCTAAATCTAATTTGTCTAGGTATTTCCATAGTGTCCAGTACAGAGAAAACTTTGCAGAGGTTCTTTGATGTATTGTTTTATAGACATAATTTATATTATAAGCAGATGTGATAGAAAATAATTACAAAAATCTAGTGAAACTGCTACTCCTACTTTATGATGAAGTTATTTTTCTGTGCCTAATTCTCCAGCCTCTAAGGGAAAAGAGGTTATCCTCAGAGATTCAGTTACAGTGAATATACTGGTCCTGGCATATAAAATGGTTGTTTCTATTTACCCTCAAAGAAAGGTTGTCTGAATGGAAACTTTAGTGATGGATAGCATGGTATTGGTATGTCACAGATGATGGTATTAATATTCTTTCACTACACACACCCATCTCTGAATCTCAATTCTTCTAGGGTAAATAGAAACAACCATTTTATATGCCATACAGAGGTCATATGACTAATATCAATGAAGTATCACAGGCATGGTCCTTTCTAAGCATTATCATCTCAGACATGAAGTCAATAGTGGAGGAATTAGAAGAATAGCAACAAACATGGAAGGGTTAGAGAGCATGATTTATGAGGAAAGATTAAGATAACTAAGGTACTGATGCTCTCACTGGATTTTCATGACTAATTCATGTACCTGTATGGAACAGCATTGACCTTCATAGTGCTCCATATGGGCACAATAGTTTATGTGAATCCAGCAGCCGGATTGGGACTTAAACATAGTCACTGCTTAGCCAAGCTATACAAAGTGAAACAATTGTTAGCAAAAATGTGAAAGGTGTGATTAAATAGGGAGGAATTTTTTGCCATGATGCAAAATATGATAGCTAGTAGTAATGGAATTAAATTAAGAAAAAGGAAAGCTTCCTGACAAACATCTTTTTAGGCCAATCAATAGTCTCCCAAATGGTGGAAACCCATTAGTAGAGACATTTAAAAGTAGACTGAACACAGTGAGAAAATAGATTGTAGGGAACAATTTCTTAGTGGACAGAAGGATGGTTTAGATGTCCATCTCTACTTGTTATGACCCATGTCCTCATGTCTGCCACAGAGCTCCAAGTGAGCCAAGCAAAAGCTGTGGCAGACATGAGGACATGGGTCATAGTGATCAGAGATGGACAAGACCTACTGGACACCTAGACCATCCTCCTCTCCATTAAGAATTGTACCCTACAATCTATTTTCTCACTGTGTCCAGTCTACTTTTAAATGTCTCTAGTAATGGGTTTCCACCATTTGGGAGACTATTAATTTTTTACAAAGAATTTTTTTCAAAAGATATAACCTGTCAGTCAGAACTGAGATGTAGTGAGCATCAATAATTTGTGTTCACAAGTACATGTTCTTGAAACTCCCAAAGCAAAATGGGTTTAAGTCCCTTCTGTAGAAAAGAAACAATTACTAGCATATGGCTTAGGGGTGATCATGAGCAAAGAGATGGGGAGTGCATAACACATATGCACCCTTGTCCAGAAAATCACCAGACAATATAAATTATGGATCTTTGACAACAGGCCTGATCCTTGCATATGCTGAATATCCTCAGCTGACCTCTTAAGAGGCACTGCTCAGCTCAGTATACCAGGCCCAATGTTAGTAAGGAAAATCCAAGCCAATAAACAGCCAAACTACATTACCATAAAAATCAAAGGAACAATGATTTTAAATAGAACAGAATTACATATGTAACTTCAAGGCAACTCCTTCTAGAAAACATAGTACAAGAAAAACATTTTAAATAAAAATCCTAGAACAAAATTTGAGCAAACAGCTCTTTCCAAAATATTAAATTACCTCACACAATACTTAGCTTTGATCTTGGCTTCTATCTCACACAAATGTTTGTGTCGGAGTCCACTTCCAGATTAGCTGGTCATTGTAGCTGCTCATTTAACTTTGACTGGTTTTTCAGCAGACCCAGAATTCCACCAAGATACAATAAGTCACTGACCTGAACTCTGTGTTGCTGCATATAATATTAAGGCCTCCATTAAGGACCCTGAAATACTAACAACTCAGTGGCTGGCTTTTATCTCAGAGCTAGTATTATGAAAATAAATACAAAAAAACTCAAAACACTGTGCTTCTTTAAGAAAATGCCCTTCTTATTTGTAAGATGTGTATCCCCAGTCCTTATAATTTGAAGCTTTGAATGTCAATTTTCTGCCAGGACCACTTTCATTACATTATTTTCTGAAAGCCATCCTGAAGCACTTTTTGTAAGTTAGATCATTTGATACATCTAGTTTGAAAGTCTTTGGGGATCCAGCATGTACTAAACTTCATTGCATTTGTTTTTTCCGCAAATCTTCATAAAATGCAGATATAGGTCTGAGCCAAATGCTGTATCTGAACTTTGGACAAGTTCAGGCCTGACTCCAATGTGATAACTATATAATGATTCTTCATTGTCTTCTGTGTGTTACAATTACAAACCTTTTATACAGGACCAAGGGATTTCAAAGAGCTTTATAATATTCACTGAAAGTTAGTCAAAGGAGCGGGATGACAACCGCATTGTGGTGGCCACTGGTAATTTCAAAGGACCTGACCCTCAACTGGTGTAAATGAATAACTCTGAAGTAAATCCTGCCTTGGAAATCAATGGAGCTATGCTGATTTATACTAACTGAGGATCTGACCCTCTGTATTCTGTGGCATGTGGCAGCTTCATACTGCACCATCTTGTGGAGACATGATGGTGCATGGTGAAAAACTGGGGGGAGGGGGAGAATATTTGGAAAGGAATTCAGATCTCCATGAGTCACTATATGTTAGTGCTAGTCATGCCTGGCCCTTGTGCAGGTGCATTTGGTGGGGAAAGAAGAAAGATTGTGGAAGGAGCTTTCACTTCTGCTTGTGGCACAATTGCAGCCCTTGTTCTCGGGGAAAGTACAGAGACTTCTCCCAACTAATGCCAGGGGAGCAAACCACCCAGAAGAGAAGTAGGGGACACATCCCTACCCTTTGTGCACTTCATCTTCCTTACACACTGATGCAGAGGCCAGCCAAAATCTGTTGCACAGTCATTTGAGAGACAGATTGGGGGTATGGCTGAGTTAAGTTAACACCATTTTGTTATAAGAATGCAATTGTGTGATTGTAACCCTCAGTTTGCATTGTAATCATCTTTGGAAAACCAGACTAATCTTGACAAGGGCAATCTATTCTAGACATTGCGTGCTCACATGAGGCAGTAGGACACCTTGGAGAGGACTATCACTGAGAGAGCCATCAATGTTGAATAATTATTAGGGAATAATTACTAGACCAAGCGGTTTTCTACTAACAGGGCCTTTGACTGGACTTTCTACACAGAAACCTTTCTGGGAGAATAGGGCTGGAGTTTCCTGGTCTAAGTGTCAGGGACTAGGAGATAGGTGGTTTTGTAGGGGTAGGATTTTATATTTGTATTAAAAGCCATAGTTTATCATGCGAGCCACCCTTTTTTAAATAGCAGAAGGGAATGACTCTCTGGGGCATTGGTAGAAACACATCTGACAGACTGCCAGTGTCTGTACTGGCAGACGGCCAATCCTGGTGCCTAACAATTGACTATAAAAGGATTAACAAAGGTACAATACCTATGGCTCCTATTGTGGCAGACATAACACAGGTTATACGAAAGGTCCATGCCACATCAAACTATTTTTCAGTAATCAACTTATCCAACTGTTTCTTTGCTATTCCCCTACACTCTGATTCACAGGTTCATCTTGCCACAACTCCAAAAGCATCAGATTGTGACCAACAAAGCCCGGCTCCCCTCTGCGACCAATCTGGCTGGCTACTAAATTAA